TTTATATAATTCATGGTTGCATCGAAGAGAAAATATATATATATGTAACATCCACGACTTTTTTGACAGTGTTGACTTTTTTTTCATCTTATATTTTTTTATTTTCTTTCTTAATTATTTTAAATAATATTATTTTTCTAAGAATAAAGACATTTTAGTCTTAATCAAAATTTTGAGTTTTTAACGATTAATTGGACAAAAATCATTAAAAAGATTAATTGCACGCATAAAGTGGAATGTTAAAGATATTTACTTTAACATTTATAGGTCAGGGACCATTTACATCAATCTCTCAAAGGATATGATGTTATTGGACATATCTATCATGTAGGTTCTAAAAAGCGTAATGCGTGACTATGCGTGGAGCCCGAGCTATGAACTAGGCGAGTCAGATGCGTAAAAAAACGTAAAAATGTGTTTTCTTATTTTAATATTATTTTAAAATTTTAATCAATCAAAAAATATTTAATAACATCGCATAATCGCGTCTATGCACACATTAGAGGTCAACGATTGCCGTTGACCACTAAATAAGGCGTCAAGCCGCTTATTTTGACGTTTTCGTCGCGCATTGTGCATGACGCTGTTTAGACGCGCATTTTAAAATACTGATCACATATAAGCTGCCCATGTGGGGAAATGGGTCATAAAATTGCCAAGGACATTTTGGACTATTTGAGCATGATAATATAAAGAAACTACGGTTTAAGTTTTCAAACTTTCAAAATTAAAAAAATATAATACTTATGGCGTTATTCAACTTTTTGATGCTTTTAGCTTCGGAATCTTTACAAAATAAGACAAATGGAGTACTATATGGAAGACGGTAATTTTTCCATGAAGAGTGCTACTGTTACAAAAAAAATTTCTGTAAAAATACCAGATCACACACATGGGAGTGAGTCCCTTTTTTTATTCTGTCATTTTTACAGATAAAATAGTTCTGTACAAGTGGAATAATTGTTTTTTCATCTACTTGGTACAAGTCTTTCATAGATTCTTGTTTTAAGGGTACTTTGTGTTAACTTACCTCTCCGTTCGATACGAGAAAGAAAACGTTTGGTAAATCACGTGGCCTTGGTTATTTAGGAATTTAAAAACTTTTTTTCTTGAAAAATAAAATAGTTGTATGAGATGAGTGGATTCAAGAGGTTTGGTCCATGAGAATGAAAAAGATAATGTTGCTCAAACAAGGGCTTAAGTTCATTCTCAATCGATAAAAGAATTTTACTTGAGCTCGTATACAGGTAGTTATTAATTAATTTTGGGACGTTTCGAACTAGGCAATTTGGATTTGTAATCTTGTACTTAAGTCATGTATAATAGGACAATTTAATTTCATAATTGCAGCCGTCCCGTCTCATTTTAGAATTTAACTCTATTTACTTCTCCCAACTAATGGACAATTATTTTCTCAATTTTTCTTAGCGTGCAAGTTTGTCAAAACTTATAATTATTTATAAGTAATGAGCTCAAGGAATTGCACTTAAAAAGTAGGTAAAAATTATAGATCGCATAGAACATGTAAATAAAAATAGAGTTTGACTAGATAATAAACGATTATAAACTTTAACGTATAGAATTTGAGTAAATTAATATGATTAGATCAATAGGGCATGAGTATTTAACCATCCTTGTACGGAGCGGGGTGAGTTTGAATTATTGACCCGGATCACGTCGTGCTTTGATCGATTTTTAAGCTTAGCTAATACGTTTTGATTTCTAAGAGACTCTTTAAAAATAAAATGCTCTTTATTTTAAACAGTCAATCCTTATAATTATGTTTCAAAATACTCTTTAAATTAATATTTTAATTTAAAGAGTAAATTTGACTCACCAATTTTGGAGAGTCAAATATACTCTTCATAACTAAATGTATTCAGAGTATTTCAATTGAGGAAAATAATATTTCCATGTTTGGCCCCCATTAAATTTTAATTTATTTTTCTCTCTCTTCTTATCGATCACACATTCTCTCAATAAAATAATATTACACATAAATCCAAAAATTCTCCATACTTTTTAACCACACATTCTTCAAAAAATACTATTCCAAAATCAATTTTTTTTCAAATAATGAAACTCAAACAAGGGCTATGCTTAGAGAAAACTAGTGAAAATAAAAGATATAGAAAAACAATAAATACTTTTTGAGAATTGTAAAATTAAGTGTTAAATATAAAGAGTATATTGGAATACTTCAAATTTTTTACTCTCTAAATTTCTAAATACTCTCTAAATTGTAGAATATACTCTTTAAAAATAATCTCTTGAAGATGCTCTAAGTGTAGTGGTTGTTTTGGGGGCTTTTATGGAGCTCAAAAGAGTTGAAGGAACTTTAGGATGTTTTGCTAAATGTACATGTGGAAATTTAGCCTATGTGGCTCATAGCTTGAACATTTATGATTTGTCGGTTCTCATTGGAATTTTACTGTGTACTACTATTACTACTACTCAATTCTTGTTGATCGAGTGTGATGTAGGATATATGGTTGGTGGGAATCAATTTTGTGTTTTTGTGCTTATTCTATAAGCAAAACAGATGAAGTTCATTTGATCTTCTAAGCCACCAAATATTTTGTACAGTGGCATGTACATCCAATGATTTGTTTTATATAGAGTAATGTTATTTATGACCATTGATGTTAAGAATCGGCCTATGTGACATTAAGGGCCTGCTTACGAGTTTTTATTTCATTGTTAAAAAATCATAGCAGCGTTAAGTTGATGTGATGAATAACGATCGTATTTTTTATTTTAATGAGTTAATAATGTAGATCAAACATGGCTAAATGTACATGTGGAAATTGAGCCTACGTGGCTCATAGATTGAACATTCATGTCTCGTTGGAATTTAAATGTGTACTACTACTACTACTACTACTCAATTATTGTTGATCAAGTGTGATATGGCTTGTGGGAATCAATTTTGTGTTTTTGTGCTTATTCCATAAGCAAAACATAAGAAGTTCATTTGATCTTCTAAGCCACCAAATATTTTGTACAGTGGCATGTACATCCAATGATTTGTTTTATATAGAGTAATGTTATTTATGACCATTGATGTTAAGAATCGGCCTATGTGACATTAAGGGCCTGCTTAGGAGTTTTTATTTCATTGTTAAAAAATCGGCGCTTCTTAATTTTTTTGGGCACCGATTTTGGGTGGTTTAAAAATCACCCAAAATTGATGTAGTGTAGTGTAAGTTTGATAGGTTCTCTCAACCTATCAAATCGGCGAAACTTGACCGTTTCTCATATTCTTTTTTAATTTTATCTTCTATAAAATAATATTTTCCAACCAACATATTTTTTTTCAAAATAAAGTTGTAAATAAATATATATTAACTAAAAAAATTATTTTATAAGCAAAAAAATTATACTGTAATTAAAAAATACGTATAAACAAAATATTATTTATAAGATAAGAAAAATTACATTAGGGTCCGTTTGATTGCACCTTGGAAATTGGGTGGAAAGAAAATGAATTTCAGGAAAAATAATTGTCTAGAACTTGTTTTCTCGGGAAATGTCAATTAGTTGCGTTTGGTATAATTTTCCACCTAAAAAATGTTGATATTTTCCATCTTTTGGTATTTAATTGCCTTTGTTTTCCATGGAAAATTATGAGTTTTTCCATCTTTAGCTGTTTGATAAGCTTTGTTTTCCATGGAATTTTTTTTCCAACTATTCGTGTTTGATAACCATTTATAATTTTCAAAAAATCATGAACAAAAGATAATATAAAACAATTGTTTAACATTGAATAGTGTAAAGAAAAATAATGTTTTACCGGAGTAAAATTCTTCAGTGTTAAATGATAGAATTTGGTCGAAAAAACTCGTTTGTAAGGGACAAAATGATAGATTTACTAGCACTAGCACCTATTTGTCTATGTTGATTTCTCGAGACTCTACTTTTGGCAATGGAAAGAAATGGGAGTGCAACTAAGAACAAATCTTGTTTTGAGCTTGTCATTGTGGTTTAAATAATCAACTGTCCTAGGCAAATTGCACAATCAACTTGATTGTATTCAAACTCCACTGACTCAACTCGGGCTGTTGATTTCTATGGAAGGATTTCAAAAATAATATGCATATACAAAAATGAGCAAAAATCATGGCATTGGAACATGCACTATTAAAATTCCCAGAAATTGAGCTTCATTTATCAACATGGATGGTTTTGTTCCAAGAGTTATCCAACCATCAAATCCTACCAACTGCAAAAAACCCAACGTTTTGGAACATTTCACTTTGATATTCAATCATAACACATACATCAGCTGGGCAAAAAATCCATTAACAAAAGCCAACTCTTTTCTAAAAATACCTCAAGCTCTTGGGAGACTATACCAAAAACTATCAATCCAATATTTACAAAACACTGCACCCTAGTTTGTATGTGTGTGCATTACAAAAAAAATTCAAAGGATCACGTACGTGGATTAAGTTTTACAAATTCGTGCAATCTACGATAGTGGAGGCGGATTACGACCAAGCTTGTCAAAAACCAAAGCACGCATGTATTTCTCGCTCGTCAGGTTCATAAATACCTTAGCCAAACCATCGTCGGATTGAAAGGCTTTCATGACTTCCATTACGTCCTTCATGTCTAGGTTCATTGCCTCCAACTTGGCTACAATCAATTGCCAGTTCACATGATTCTGTTTATTTAGCCTAGCTTGCATTTTCATAGCGAGCAATTTTTGTAGATGACTCAGCAATCCTTGATAGGGCGATATTGGCCTCATCCACCAGTTGTGCATGTCGACGCTTGGCTTTGCTGTTCACGTCTTCGGCGATACGCTTACGACCATGAACTAGGCTAGGATCCATCTCCACATTTTCCATATCTAACTCGTTCACACTTTCATCAGTTACTACATTAAAGAGATAACAACTTATTTGAAGTTTATACATGAATACAATCTAAGTATCGTACTATAAAATATATTGCATACCATACATTGGGGAGGAATGGTCGAAGCCAGACACTGCTCAATCTCTGGTGGCAGTATCATTGCCAAAGATAGTCTCCATCTCATCATATCTTGGACAAAGTTTGGTCCTCCACTTTCCGCATTCTGGCTTTCCCTGCAACAGAAATTGATACTTCAAAACTGAATATCTTGGACAAAGTTTGGTCCTCCACTTTCCAAATTCTGGCTTTCCCTGCAAAATAACCTTATGAGTATATTGTAACTGCCCCAGAACATCTAATTTCCCAGTAGCTATTAGTAGCAATGTCCAAAAATGCGTCCTAATTCGTACCTTAATAAAATCGTCCCAAGCCATGGCATCAGCTACAATGCGTCCAGTTTGGGGATTCAACCCAAAACCGCTCATATTTAGCAATTGGTGAACTTCAGTATGCTCTTTTTTAAGAGTCTTTAACCTCGCCCTTACATTCTTATCTGAAACCATGACCCTGCATCCATTGTTAACACTGTCAATTGCCTTAGATACTTGAAATGTGGTAAAGCCATTGTCACTTCGTTTGTGCCCAGCCAACACTTGATCAACGAGTGAAGTGATCATAAAACCATCCATCTAATCACTCCAACATACGTGATGAGTCCTAGCATTAGGATCGACTTCCGATCTACCAAAATCAGTGTTATCCCCATTTGAAAGGGTGGTCAGTATGGGAACATGAAAAGGACCCATAGAGTTTCGTCGATTTTGTGCCATCAACGCTGTCAAATGACAATAGAAAAATGTCAATATTAGCATAACTAGCAGAAGCAACAGAAAACATGAAAACAATGTAACAATGGTATACAACAAGCAAAGAGATTCGAAACTATATCAAAGATGCAAATTTAGATAGCATTGGAATTAAGAAAACACTACAACATAACAGGTATCGAAGTCAATGTTACAACATAACAACATTTAACGCAACATTTGTACGATCTTTACAACCCTAGCAAGTTTAGCTCCAAACATTACAGGGAAACACAAGTAATGAAATACACAACATAGGAGATTCAATCAAAATCAATTCCCGCATCATGACTTGGATGGTAAGTCGCCCACATGTCATCAGCCATTGTATCCCTATTATTAGACCATGTAACTTCTGTTGTGAAAGATATAGGAGCATTGGGTGTGTCATCTTCGGGTGCATCAACATGTCCAGTGTTAACATCATCATCGCTACTGTAATAGTCCTCGTCGCAAAGATCATTTGCGTCATAAATCCTTAAGAAGTTGTGAATGGCACAACAAGCAAGCACAATCCTTGCTTGTGTCTTAATGTCGTGGTATGGTTAATGCCTCAGATATGCGAATCTTTTTTTAAGCTGACCAATAATCCTCTCCACAACATTTCGTAGACATGAATGTCGAAAATTAAACAGTTCTTTCTTATTTTCAGGTCAATGTCCTTCAATGTCTCTACGATGGTACCGAGTTCGGCGGTAGGGCGAAAGAAATCCCGGAACCAATGGAAATCCGGCATCGCCAAGATAATATTTACCTATTGCACACATGGTTGTTAAGCTATTGTTATTTATTGAAACATGTGAAAGTCAAATTATCGAACAAAATGGTAGATCTTACCAACATGAATTGTTAGCCTATGACTTTGTCGTAAAGTTGCACTCCTTAGCAATCGACTGTCGTGAGCGGATCCCTCCCAACCGGAAAGCACATATGTAAACTTCATATCAAATGTGCAAGCGACCAAAACATTGTGAGTTATCATTTGCTTCTTATTGCGATACCTCATTTGTTCCTCTATGGGGACAAACGCATGAATGTGAGTACCATCGATTGCCCCCACAGAATCCTAATACGAAAACAGAAAAGTTTGGTTACATAAGGAATAGTGATCGGGAAGGAAAAATAAACGAAGTTAAATATTACATCACCTGAAAATATTGGAACCATGGTTCTCCTTATTCTTTTCGTATGGTGAGTTATGAATAGTGGCATTGTTCACAACATCTCTGTACAATCCAAGGCAAGCCTGTAAAACTCTATGGAAGTAATAGCTCACTTTTTGGCCAGATCTAAAGAACGTAAAACTTCCAGTTCGATTACGGTGGTCATGTCCAATAGTGTTGAGAAATATAGCCACTTGTTCTTCTACTTTTACAGATCTATTGTCAAACAAACAATATGGTCATAAACGAGCACATAGACTTTGAAACGGAGCTATCTTCATCCTTAGTAGATCATGACAAATTCTATCGCTCGTACCAAACAGTCGTCTAAGTATCATTTCTCTTTCAAAATCCCAATTTCTATGTGGTACTCTAGGGAGTTGTTGAACACGATGCCTGATGGTAGTATATATTACAATTGCTTGCATGACCATCGTACAAAATATGCCCAAATGTTGTCGTTGTCGACGACGTTGGTTCCTTGTGGTAGCCATGGTACTTAGAACGTCTAAAAAGTTTCAAGCAAGAGAAAAGGAGAGATTTGTTCATATTTGAAGATGATAAATTAATTGTAAACCTGATTTTATTTATTTTTATACAACATATACTCAAGTGAGATGTCTTTACTAAACCTTTGCAATTTCTAAATTTCAATGCATAAAATCAATTAGGTGAAGGAAAACATTAATGAAGAGGGGAAAAGTGATTTCTTATGGAATAATATGCTATTTGAAAAATGGAGATCAGTAAGAATGTTAACAAGCAAGAGAATACCCTAGCATTACTTAACATCGAGACAATATACTATACAAATGAACATAAAGGTCAAATGATTCAGAAAAGAGATAAGATAGACTAGCAAATATAAACTAACATGGTGAGAATAATTTTCTCTGTTGCATGCTGGTAGAGTAACATAAGAAAGTTACATAAATCATCAGAAAAAACATACAAATACATCAAGACTGCAGATAAATTTAATGACATTATCAATTGGCACCAAGTGGCAAGGTTGTCAAGGAAACAATCATGTCAAGTAGTTCGGTGTTCAAGTTAATTTTGGAAATTTACACAGATACTTATGACTTCAATGGCTCGAGTCATTTTTAAGACTTACGCCATTTGGAATACTAAACTAGTCACAACTGAATTCATCCGAGAGCCAGAACAATAATAAAAATTATCTTGGTGATAGAAAATGGCAGAGGTAAATTGGAAAAGATAAATGTACCCCTCAATATGGATGATGCACAGACATAAAAAGAGTCGAGGCCAAAAGCTATTATTTTGGCTGCTATTTTGCATTCCCCATCTTTCCTTTGTCTCATTTTTTTCCCCTCAAACAAGAAAATAGAGATGTAGATGTATCACTTAAAGACTTGCTTCTCATTCCATTCAAGTAACAATAATTCCCAGCCTGTGTCTTCCAACAGGATAATCAACAAAATGATATCAGCTCTAAATTTTTTTAGTGGACAACTAAAATTGCCCCTGGTTACTTGTCTATTTGGAAAATTCCCACTGTTTTGAGCAACATACATCTAAAAACCTTACGCATATTGAAGTCATAAACCAATCGTCCTGCTCTTCAATAAGTTATACACTCTATCATGGTGTTCTAACTTAATCCAAACAACATTTAAAGAAAATATTTATGCACTGCATAATCTACCTTGCAAGTTCAGGTTCATTCCATTTTACCTTTTCAAATAATGGAGTTTAAATAGTAAACAGAAGTTGAGTACTTGCTAAGGTTTTGATTTCAAAGCCATTCAATTCAAAATAGGAGCTGGGCAAATTATCATAGCTATTTAAAGACCGTGAGATGATACAACTATAAAGGGAAAAACAAAAAATTGTTAATTGATGAAAAACAATACTTGAATTTGCTGCAAAGGAGGTTCAACCAAGGCTCTTCCTTCAAGTACTCTCCCACTATTTTGCACGGAGTGGGAGATGGGAATTGAAGGGTTATTCCTTCTTACGCAATTAAATGAATTTTTTTGGGTCACAAGCAGAGATAAAGGGGCATAGAGCAAACTTGAATCGGCAACCCGATGGTCTGAAATTGGGGATTCTTGAGGGTTTTCCAGTTTCGACAGCTTCTATGTTTTCCTGGGTACCGAGAATGTGCTCTCCTCTCCTTCAATGATAAGGTGTTGTGGTGATTTTTTGGTGGAATTTGAGGGTATATCAGAAATGTAGCGGAGACGATGAATGGGATGAAGGCGTCTAATTTTTTTGGATACCGACAGCTTCTATGTTTTCATGGGTACTGAGAACGTCCTCTCCTCCCCTTCAATGATAGGGTGTTGTGGTGATTTTTTTTGGTGGAATTTGAGGGTATATCAGAAATGCGGCGGAGAAGGTGAAGGGGAGGAAGGCGTGAGAAGAAAAAGGGAAAGTGGTGAATTGCCAAGAAAATGAAAAACCACCAGATCCAAGGGAATTCCAATTCCACGATTTCGTGGAATAAGGGGTCACGTGAGCCATTTCAAGAAAATTAATTCCCTAAAAAATTATGTCTATCAAACTGACCAAAATGTGGAAAATGGTATGATATTTTCCATCTTCCCTAGAAAACTTGGGCTATCAAACAAGCCCTTATAATTAAAAAAATACATATACGTAAAAAATCACTTTTATGTAAAAAAAATTGTTTATAAAATAAAAATACTGCTAATAAATAGATATTCACTTATAAAATATAAAAAGTTACTTATAAGTAAAAATTCATTTGAATTATTTAAAAGTATAAAATTTACTTATAATTGTAAAATTTACTTATAAGTAAAAATATTAACTTATACGTAAAAAAAAATTAGCTAAAGATTAACTTATACATATATGTAATTTTATTCTTTTAAAAAAAATTCAAAATTGGTGGATAGTAAACTCTCAAACATAGATTGAACAGTTTTAAAAATTGGTACTAAAATCACTGAAAATCGATCCGTTCATAAACGCACAAAATCGATACTTTAAAAAACGTTCATAATCGGTACTCCGAAACTTCCAAGCAGGCTCTAAGTGTCATTAAATAAAATATACAATTAAATGAACCACATAATTTCAAATAGAACATATTTCATAATGCCACATAAATTGGTGTTTTAACCCCTGAAAATAAGCCAACAGATGTCGGGCCCACTTACACCAAGTCGAGTACGATTCTGGCGCATTCTTACCGGAACAACGGCGTTAGCAAAAAAGGAAATGGATGCGGGAGCTACTTTCCAGCGAGAGACAAAAATGTTCAAACTCCGGGAGAATGAGCAAAAGCAATCGCGCTAACAAAGATCACCGAGTTGAAATCGAACTAAACTATGTAAATGTATGTGAAAGGATAGATATGATGTGTATTAAAATTGTTACGTTGTATATGAAGATTTACCACTCCTAAGCATACCAAGAAGATAGAAAATAAGCCAAAGTGTTTGTATATTTTTTCCAGATCAAGTGTGTATTTCGAATATATATGATTGTCTCTCCCCCAATCAATAATCCAACCCCTTTTAAATTACAAAGAGAATCTATTTATACTACATTGGTTGACATGGTAACCGTTTGATCAGAACCACGTGACCTCATCTCCCTAATAGCGACATCACATCAATGTCTATTCATATAATTAATACATTAATAAGGGGTTAGTCGTCCTATATAATAGGCTGACATACTGACAATTTTCATTATAAGTGTTACATCAATCACTTCTAAGAGATCTTCGAATCTATTACAAAAGACAATGTCGGCCTGTGAGCTTCGTGCAAGTATGGGGCCTCGAAGGAATTTTCGAGGTGGTCCTCTAAGTGGAGAGCTTCGACACCTTTCTTTGTTTCCTTAGGCCATTTCGTCTTTGAGGCAAGAGCAGTGCTACATGTACAGGCCTGTACCTGCCAGACCACTCACACCATAGGTGGGTGGGGGAGAGATTTTTGCCAATATTTTAATCATGTGGGACCAATTCATGTGGGAGAAAATTTGAAATTCTGTGAAAAATCTGTAAAAATATTCCTGTACTTCAGGAATTATTTTTGAGGCAATGCCTCATCTTGGACTTTGTCCTTACATTGTAAGGACTTCGGCTTGTTTGACTTCTTCGTATTTTGGTCTCATGGATCTTTATTTGATTTCCTCGTTGACTTTCTGCCTACGTGTCTTGCTACGTAGCACTGTCCTTTTGAGCCTCGGAGTAACAAATAGCATTATTCTCTTCAAAGACTATATACTTGAGATGTTTACAAAACCACTATTCTTCAGTCCGACTCATAAAATACTCCTTCACCTCTTCACGTTTGTAGTGTGCCATTTTTCATTTCTTAGTAACGAGATTCATTAGGAGGAAACTGTCCGAAACAGGGGTTGAATACAAGGGAAATAAAATAATTGTATCTTCACATTCAAATAAAGAAAATCAAAAACACGAAAGAAAAATAGGCTCTGACAGCAAAGATTTCATCTGCAAATTGTGTTCATGTAAAATAGGGACGGGGCATAAATACAGAGGTCCATCAACATGGTGTCTACCCACCAAAATTTGAATGAAGTTGTCAAACTGCTAGTGTACAAAAATTGGAAATAAAAATATTATTCGACTCCCATAAAGTATAAAACAAGTTAAAATCCACCGCATGTGATGTCGATGAAACTCTAAGTAGAGATTCTTGTCTTGTATAACTTTTAACGATAAATGACAGCTGCAAATTGTAAGGATCTATCGTGGATGACAACTTCTAATCATTTCAAGTTGTAACGAGAAGGTACAGAAGTCCCTTCAAATATTCAACTATTTCTGATCCTCCCAGCTTTGAGCTTCCATATACTCTATCAACAAAAGTTATTGGAACCTGTCAATAGGTAAAAACCACAATTAGAGATCATTCTTAAATATGTTCACCAACGATAATTACACAATTGAATTCCTTTAGGTTATTGAAAATCATAAACCAAAATCCCAAGAGAGATGCTTAAGCACATGACAATCTAACACACATTTCTATTTTGTAGTGTCGTTCAAATAATATCCTATCGCTACCACAAGAAAATTGTTTGTGTGGCATTAAAACGCAGACAATATTAAACCATCATTCTGTTTCCATCACAAAACGGCTGTAGAGGCATATCAAAAGGTATGAAATCATATAACAACTAGCAAAGTACTTTAAATCCAACTTCAGTAATGGCTGGGAAATGCAATTATCAAAAGATAGCTAATATTGAGTATTTTTGTCCATCAGAACAAGATTTGTGCTCAAAATGAGCACTTGAAGAATGGCAGTCAATGATGACATCAAAATATAAAGTAATATGATATGCATGCCCATCAATAGTGAAGGACTGTAGATGGAATAACATCACAAGCCTTGTATAGTAATCCAGGGATATAGTAGGGGTGCGCACAAGCAGAGTTGACCTATATATACAAACCAAGACTAGAATATTGAGGCTCAATTATGACTGCAATTTTAGTTTAAGCATTATTACCAAAAGGATATTAATATTTAAAACTAATTAAATGTTTCACTTTAAACCAATCAAATATTAAATTTAGCAATATAATATAAAATCATCAAATGATTGAGAGCTTCAAACAGCTTTCTCCAATCTTGAGCTTGGCTCCATTGATTTTTTTTTTTTTTAGTAGCAAGTCCTTTTGATCTCATCTTTGCGGAAACACCATTTATTTCCAGGCAGCACTTTGAAGTCCAGTCATTCTCACAAAATTACCTACCGTTTCACAATCAACTCCAATGATGAAGGAGCTCACTCATGTTGAAATCAAAACAAGATGAAAATTTTAGCATATATATAGAGAACCTTATCACAAAATGTAGATTTCACATCACAAGTACCTCTTCTATGTGGTAACCCTTTCTTGAAGCCCGAACAATCATCTCCATCTGGAAAACATACCCTTTACTCACACAAGAGCTTATTACATCTTCAAGCACGGATTTACGATAAAGACTTCAAAACCAACAATAATAATCAAAAGCTTGTAGGTGAAGTGCAAAGAAATTAATTGTTATTGAAAATGATTTGATTGTACCGGAACGATCCAGTTAAGTCTGATACACCTGGCCAAAGAAAAGTCTGTGCAAGGACATTTGCCCCTCTGCTCGTCAATTTACGCATAAGATTCCACCCATGCACACCGCCACCTTTAACATAACGAGTTCCAGTGACTATGCTCGCACCCGTTTCCATCTGTTTCCTAAACTCAAGAAGTTTTCAGGTAGTAAACATATTTAGCCCGTGTTTGACAACCATTAAAAGAAAAATATTTTTTCTTAAACTCATTTTCAATGACACATTCATACAATAAAATTTTCTGCAAGTAAACCAAAAACTTACTTCCTACTTTTTAACTACACATTCTCCAAAACAAATTACTATTTCAAAATTCATTTTTCCCACAAAACTCTTTTTAATGGTTGTCAAACAAGGGCTTAGACTAAAAAGATCAAAGATTTTTTCATAATGATTTTTACTTGATGAAGCTTGGCAGGTATTTTGGCTGCAAACAAACATGAACAAGAAACAAACAACAATTAGATTAATTAAAATAAAAATAAAAATAAATTCTGCAGAATGAGCAAAAGTAAAGCAGCTAAGTAAATGCATAAAGAGTATCTAAAGTTCGAATGAGTTATGCTATAGCGATAGACTAATCATCTAGTCATCTTAAAATCTCTAACCAATTTTTCTTTTGTTGAAGCTACAAATTTCTAGCATGATATATATTGGAATAGGATTGCAGAATCTTTTTATCGTTTTTCATTTTTAGAAGAACGCGAGAAAGCAAACAGGATGTTGCACTTGAGCTAAAATCACGTGCGTGAGAAATCCCCTGGTCGCATCATAGATTAAAAATACATCTTCAGAGTGTAATATTTCATGAAGAAGACATCCTTTCCTTTTGCATTCGATGATACAAACTTACATGGTGTGATAAATCAGCATCCATTATAACAACAAAATTGCCAGAGGCATACTTCAGACCATGCATGTAAGCAGTCCCTGAAGTAAAATCAACATTTAGGAGCACTTCATATTATCATTCAAAATATAGAAAGCCAAAATACAAACCTAAGCCAAGCTTCTTGGGTCTGGGTCTCAACAGCTACAGTAGAAGAAAATCCACGTAAAGAATAAAGCTAAGAGATAAAATTGCAGATCATCACACTCAACAATGAAGACAGATTTAATTTTTCAAAACTCACAATGCGATCTTCTCCATATACTTGCTGCAATTGTTTAACAATATCCTGAGTTCCATCAGGACTCCCATCATCCACTACTATTATTTCAAAGTCAACATCCCTGATCAGACAGAAAATATAAGTTACAATTATAATCAATTTTCACACGCACGGGAAAAGAATCGCCACCAGTCCATGGAATCATAAAGATGGCCAACAAATGGGAGACTTTCAAATTCTCGAACGAGGGACAAGCACTAGCACAAATCAATGTAACCTACAGTAGGCTTTCACTTCATTGAACATTTTTATTTCAAAAGATTATTAACATCATAGTATCACTTTATTAAATATTGTTCATCACTTAAAGGTAGATCAAGACCGTAGAATAATATTCTGCAAGCAATTACTTGGAAATATGGTATTCACATTTTGCAACAGTTTGAAAGGAATGTAAAACAGCAAGATATTTTCACGATGAGACCAAAGAATTACATTATCGAACGCCAAAATGGATTGCAAAACACTCATTAACAATCAAGCAACCATGACAATGTGATCAAACTGTCAATAGCAATTACCAAGAAATTATGCGACCAGATATCAACAGATCACATACGTTATGAGGCCCCATTCAGTTTAGATTTATTACCTAATATATAATCAGAAAACTTTAAATTTTTTGCTGAAGTGTTAAATTAGAACATCAACACTGATAAATTACTATCTATAAAAGTTCACAAAAATTGATCCTTTCAAGTCAGGTTCTCACAATTGCTTTATACAACATAATCATTATGCATCATCCAAACCAAATGATAATCAAACCCTATCTTAATGATCTACATCCTTCAAAGCAACAAGGAGGCCGGAAATTACGATTAAACATAAATTTAACAAATGCTCCAAAACCAATGATCTGATACTTTCTTCTGCACTTAAACAAAGAAGAATCACTTCTTCTAATGCACTAGAAAAGCACTCATTATGATTCAGAAAATTAGCACTTCCCTGTAACTTCAAATCGCTCACAGCAATTTCGACTCTACGCTACCAATTAAAAATAGGTCTTTATTCGGAATAAAAAACGCACACAAAATCGCTCATAGCAATTTCAATTCTACGCTCCCTAAAGGAAATCTAATGATAGTTGTGTAGAAAAAGGGACAAAAAAAAACCTCAATTTCTTTAATCGGAATCAAGCGCATACATATAGAGCGAGAACGTACGAAAGATGCTTGACGATGAGGTAAACAATGAGAGCGATGTTGAGGCGTTCATTGTAGGTAGGCACTATTATGCTATACTTTGCAGAACTCTTCTCCTTTTGCTGATTTTCCATTTCGCAGTGATTTCCCGATCTCCCGAATGGGGTATATTGAATCATACCCGAGATCCATATTAAGCCAATACGGGTTCCTGTTTCCAACTTCTATTTTCGGGTCATTCCAGACAAAAAGACCAATGTTTTTGGACTTTTTATTAGCATTATTCTCAAGGAAACTTAGCCCACATAGCAGTTGTTATTATTTGTTAATTATGATTTTTTAATCTTTTTATTTTATTTTATTATCACTACTATATAAAAGAACGAGTTAAATTTTCACTGTTCATGAGCCATGAGTCGAGCTGAATGACTTTTTGACTCGGCTCGACTATGCTAAGCCGTCTAAGCCGATTTTTTTTTTAATTACTGAACGGACCAAAAGGTCCGTTCAGCAATTACCAAAAGGTGGCTCGGCTCGACTAAGCATTCTAAGTCGATTTTTTTTTTTCCTTTGACAGAACGGACCAAAAGGAAGCCATTTAAGTTTTTTTTTTTTTTAATTTTAATTTACAGATATTCGTTTCAAGCACTTTAAAATTTTTTGGAAATGTTGAAGTGTGTCCATGATAAATATATGATCGATAAATTTTAAATATCAAAAATTTTTTTTACATTAATTGTGAAACGTAAAGTCGTGATTGTTTATGTTTCTTTTCAATTCCAACCTCAATCCAATTCGATATTTCACGATATGAATATCTATTTGGGATCGATGTAAATTTTTTTAAAAAAAACTTAAAATGTGATAATAATAAATATATTGTCAATTAAGTTTATATATAAAAATTATCTTAAATTATTAAACGTAAAAACATAATCGTAATTTTTTTCTTTTC